GCAAAGAAATTATCACAATTAAAGACATTATAAAGTTAAAGTTATTGAATACCTTAGCAGGAAATTGAAGCTTTAATTTTGGCTCTGAAAGGATGCAAACAATACTTGCAAAATAAGCTTGAAGTGGACTTATTAAGGCCACAACCACAAAAGGATACATTATCATTACTGACACGCTCTGGAATGTATGACAACCCACTTGATGTTACAGGCTTGGAAACATTGTAATCCTGCTCTCGCAACCAGATTAAAGATACAAACTCATGCATGAAAATTTGCTCCCACCTTGAATTAAAACTTGTATTTAAACTATACTTATTAATGGCAATATGCTTACATTCCCTACCCTCCATAGAATTTAAGGCCAACCCCATCCCATACTTAGATTGCATTTCTTTTGTGTGAACTGGAACAACATGCCCCAATGTCCACACTGTGGGTGAAAAACTGAAGTACTCCATATTCAACCTGAAMAAATCATTACAAGAATGTTCAAGTTCACTTACCTCTTCATCTGAAATATTGAGACGGTTAAAAAGAGAAACACAATTACGTAGTGTTAAGGCAAGAAAAGCAATGACATGAAACTGAAATTTWGATTTCGTTTTTTCTTGGACCTGTGGCTCTATAGCATCAACTAAATACATGAAATTATGGAGGAAAAGCCTAGAGTCCTTACCAGTAAACCTGTAGTCAAATCTTTTAGAAGTTAGTATGCCAGTCTCATCAAAATATTTCCTCACCCTTTTAGCAAGTCTTGATAAACAGCATTTGTCACTAAGTGCATCAACATATATAACAAAAGGATTATCTGGAGGCAGCTGTGAAAAMGAAACAGAATCTGAAGGAATATTAGAGATCTKAAGGACCTCTTCAAGTAAATATCTGTGGACAAGAGCACAAGCATTATTTTTGAGATGCAAGGGTTCTACATGAGCTGTATCAATTATGTCTTCAAGGAGAGGTTTAAATTCTTGGCGACTCTTTAATTTGGCAATGCATTCAGTGATGTTCTTGCGCTTTGTTTTTTGTGATATTTTTTTCTTTTCAAGTTTCTTTTTTTCTTTCTCAACCTCTTTCACTACATTGAGCCTGGCATTGTAATTCCAAGGCTTCCAGGTATTCTTTTCCTCTCTCCCAAATGTACCAGTCAAACATTTTCCATTTGAAGTGGACACATCTGCAAAAGATGAAAAGTATGTAGCACTGTTATTGAGTTCACCTGAAAGAAAAGCAAGCATTTTCATATCATTAGGCAGCTCAGCAATCTTGAATTTAACATTGACAATCTGATTGTCATTAGTTGGAATCYGAAATGTTTTATCCTGTACAGCCTTGATCTCTGAAARAAGAAAATCAACATATCTAATAACAGGGAGAGCACTTTCAGAACAATTTGCTCCAAAAATAAGGAAGTTCTCATTGCTGCTAAGAACTCCACGGCCAATATTCAGGAAGCTAACAAGCCAGGCACATGCTGTGTCATCTTTGCCAAAAGGAGCACCATCACCCCCTAAAGCTACCTGGAAAGTATATTCATCCTCAAACCAAACAAGATTATAGSCACTGGTTTTATTCA